TTTGTATTTTTAGTAGAGATGTGGTTTCCTCGTGTTGGCCAGGCTGGTGTTGAACTCCTGACCTCAAGTTTTCCACCTGCCTCAGCCTCCCAAAGTGCTGCAAATTCAGGTTACAGCCACCACTTCTGGCCCATTTATTTTGCTTTTCGAGACAAGGTTTTGCTTGATTGCCCAGGCTGGAATGCAGTGGTGAGATCATGGCTCATTGTAGCCTCCTGGGCTTAGGCAATTCTCGCACTTTAGCATCTGACTAGCTGGGACCACCAATGTGTGCCACCATGCCTAGCTAATTAAAAAAAAATTTTTTTTGTAGAGATGGGGTCTCACTGTGTTGTCCATGCTGTTCTGAAACTCCTGGGCTCAAGCAGTTCTCCTTTCTTGGCCTCCCAAAGTGGTAGGCTCACAGGCCTGAGCCAGTGTGCCAGCCTGAATTTTATTTTAGATTCAGAGGATACATATGCAGTTACATTGATATATTGTGTAATGCTGGGGTTTGGGCTACTATTGAACCCATCACCCAAATAGTGAACATTGTACCCAATAGGTAGTTTTTCAACCCTTGCACCCCTTCTTCTCTTCCCCCTTTTGTAGTTCCTAGTGTCTGTTTCCATCTTTATGTTGTGTGTACCTATTGTTTAGCTCCCACTTATAAATGAGAATATGCAGTATTTGATTTTATGTTTCTGTGTTAATTCACTTAGGGATAATGGCCTTCAGCTGCATCCATGTTGTTGCAGTGAACATAATTTCGTTCTTTTTTGTGGCTGCACAGTATTCTATGGTGTGTATATGTACCACATTTTCTTTATCCAGTCCACTGTTAATGGACACCTATGCTGATACCATGAGTTTGCTAATGTGAATAGTGCTGGATTAAACCTGTAAGTGAAGATCTTTTTTCATAGAATGATTTCTTTTGGGTAGATACCCAGTAGTGAGATTGCTGGGTTGAATGGTAGCTCTAATTTTAGTTGTTTGAGAAATTTCCATACTTTTTTCCACAGGGGTTGCATTTCCTTTTCTCTGCATCCTTGCCAACACCAACACCTGTTATTTTTTTGACTTTTTAATCATAGCCATTCTGACTGGTGTGAGATGATATCTCATTATGGTTTTGATTTGCATCTCTGGTGATTAGCAATGTTGAACATTTTTTCATGTTTGTTGGCTGCTTTGCCTTTTAAGAAGTGTCTGTTCATGTCCTTTGCCCAATTTTTAAGGTAGTTGTTTTTTTTCTTGTTAAGTTCCTTATAGATTGTGGATATTAGTCCTTTGTCAGATATGTCATTTGCAAATATTTTCTCCCACTCTGTAAGATGTCTGTTTACTCTGTTAATTGTTTCTTTCGCTGTGCAAATGCTATGTAGTTTAATTAAGTCCCAGTTGTCAATTTGTTTTTGTTACATTTGTTTTTCAGTACTTAGCCATAAATTCCTTGCCTTGGCCAATGTCCAGAAGAGTGTTTTCTAGGTTTTCTTCTAGGATTTTTATACTTTGAGGTCTTACATTTAAGTCTTTAATCCATCTTGAGTTAATTTTTGTATATGGTGAGAGGTAGGGGTCTGATTTCATTCTTCTACATATGGCTAGCCAGTTTTCCCAACACTGTTTATTGAATAGGGTGTCCTTTTTCCATTGTTCATTTTTTGTCATCTTTCTTAAAGATCAGATAGCTGTAGGTGTATGCCTTTATTTCTGGTTTCTCTTTTCTGTTCCATTGGTCTATGTATATGTTTGTTTGCCAGTACCATGATGTTTTGGTTTCTGTAACCTTATAGTAGAGTTTGAAGTCGAGTAATGTGATGCCTCCAGCTTTGTTCTTTTTTTTCACTTAGGATTGCTTTGGGCCCTTTTTACCCCTTCCGTATGAATTTTAGAACTTTTTTCTAATGCTGTGAAAAATGACATTGGTAGTTTGATAGGAATTACATCGAATCTGTAAGTTACTTTGGACAGTATGGCAATTTTAACAATATTGATTCTTCTAATCCATGAGCGTGGAATGCTTTTTCATTTGTTTATGTCATCTATAATTTATTTCAGCAGTATTTTGTAGTTCATGTGGAGGTCTTTCATCTCCTTGGTTAGCTGTGTTCCTAGGTACTTTATTTTTGGGGGAGCTATTGTAATGGGACTGTATCCTTGATTTGGTTCTTGCCCTGAATTATTGGTGTGTAGAAATGCTACTGATTTTTGAACATTGATTTTTGGATCCTGAAACTTCACTGAAGTCATTTAGCAGTTCTTTTGGAGGGATTGTTAGGGTTTTCTAGGTTTAGAATCATATCATGAGTGAACAGAGATAATTTGACTTCCTCTTTTTCTATTTAGATGCCTTTTGTTTTTTTTCTTGCCTGATTGCTCTGGGTAGGACTTCCAGTACTATGTTGGATAGAGGTGGTGAGAGTGGGCATCCTTGTCTTGTTCTCAGGGGGGAATGTTTCGAGCTTTTGCCCATTCAGTATGATAGTGGCTGTGGGTTTGTCATAGATGGCTCTTACTATTTTGAGAGGTAATGTTCCTTCATTGTCTAGTTTGCTGAGGATTTTTATCATGAAGGGATATCAGACTTTATCAAATGCTTTTTTTGTATCTGCTGAGATGATCAATTTTTAATTCTGTTTATGTGCTAATACTATTCCCAAAAATTGAGCAGAAGGGATTTATCCCTAACACAGTCTATGAAACTAGTATCATTCTGATACCAAAATCTGGCAAGGACACAACAAAAAAGAAAACTGTAGGCCAACATTCCTGATGAACATAGACTCAAAAATCCTCAACAAAATATTATTAAACTGAATCCGGCAGCATATCAAAAAGATAGATAATTCATCACAATGAAGTGGAGCTTATTCTCTTGGATATTATTCTAATGGCGCTGGGACACCTCTGGAATATGTGAAGCAACAAAGCAAATATGATATGATTCACAGGGTAAATCACTGTGGCTTCTCATTGGAAAACTGCTGTACACAGGGCTAAGTAGAGCGGTGAGGCCTCTTGGCCTTTTGAGGTTTTAGGCCCAAAAACAGATCACAGAATCAGTTATGTTAAACCTGGGAACCCCGTGTGTTTTATTTTACAGGTTTCTTTCAGGTATTTTCAGCAATTGTAAAACCAATTTGACAGAGATCACAAATTTTGTTCATATGTGTAGAAAAAGGAATGAAAAAAAGCAATATCTCTTTGGAATTATTTGTATTGTACTGTGATACTCGTTTAAAAAGGAAAGCAAGTAGAAGGTTTGTGGTTTTATCCTAGATATTAATTTGAAATATGTTTATTGGTTGAGACCAACAGCAGCCCTAGGCCCCTTTGAAGCAATAAGCTCTACAATCACAGAAAATGATATTTAAGTTTAGAAAGTAATGTTTTGAATGTTACATTGATAGAATCAAAGATAATAAGTGAAGGCAACAACTACAAGAAATAATCAGGAAAGTGTGGAACTGTATTTGATTTTACTGACTTGCCTTCTTTTAATTTAATTTTTTTAAATATATAAATAGAGATGGGTCTTGATATATCATTGTCCAGGCTAGTCTTCAACTTCTGGCCTCAAGTGATCCTCCCTTCTCAGCATCCCATGGTGCTAGGATTACAGGCATGAGCCACTGCATCTGAACTATTTTTATTGTATTTTTTTAGACAGTCTGTCTCTGTTTCCTGGCTGGAGTGCAGTGATGCAATTATGACCCACTGCCATCTCTGGCAATCTCTGTCTCTCGGCTCAAGCAATTCTTGTGCCTCAGCCACCCAAGCATCTGGATTACAGGTGTGTGCCACCACACCCGACTAATTTTTGTATTTTTAGTAGAGATCGGTTTCACCATGTTGGCCAGGCTGATCTTAAACTCTTGGCCTGAAATGATCATCCTGCCTTGACCTCCCAAATGTTAAGATTACAGGTGTGAACCACCGTGCCCAGCTGCCTTCTTTTAAAAAGTAAAATTGTTAATGACTTTTAGGATAGTGATACTTAGGCATTGTAGAAAACAGCAAATGCTGACCAAACTATAAAAGAAGATAAATATCTCACATATATATATACTGTTTAGGGACATCTGCTGTTACATTTTTGAGGTATTTAGGTATATATATGTGTTAGTATATTTGGTTATTTATTATACTGTAGAAAGGTTTAATTATTTTTAGCACTGTTTTGTGAACATATTTTCATATCATGAAATATTTATAATCTTATTTTTATGGAAACATGCAGTCTATAGTTATACCAAAGTTTTTAAAAACCAGATGCTTATTGTTGAAATCTAATTGTTATTTAGATTCCTGTTGTTATTTCTTAATCTGTTTTGAAGAACTACTGTAAAGAAATCCATCCTTTAGCTACATTTTTGTTTATATTATTTTGTATATGTAACTACTCCCCAAGTATTACTGTATAGTCAAAGAAGTCAAAGAACACAAAATTTTAAGGCTTCTGCTATGTTTTGCCAGCGCCACAGAAAGATTGTACTCCCAATAGCATTCTATGAGATTCCCAATTTTTCCACATCCTTGCCAGCTCAGGTGTCACTGTTTTTTAAAAAATTAATCTTTGAAATTTGGTAAGTGAAAAATTAGTATCTCACTGCTTTCATTAATTATAATTATTTGATCATTAGTAAGGTAGAATATGTTTACTGTTTGTGATTTGTGTGTACAGTATATGAATTGCTCATTCATACTTTTTCTACTTTTTAATTAGATTTATATTTTTTCTTATTGCTTTTAAAGAAACATTTATGTAGCGATGCTAATTCATTATCAATCATAAAGGTTGTATATTTTTCCAAATTCTGCATTTTTCTCTTAATTTTTAAAATGTCTACGTATTTTGTTTATACAGCCAAGTCTGTTTGTCTGTATCATATCTTTCCCACACTGAGGTTGCATAAATTCTCTCACATTTTCTCCTGTTTTTTTGCATTTAAATGTTTGGCCTATTTATTTATATATCTACACATAGGTATCTCTCTTTTTTTTTTGTCATTTAGAAAGAAAATCGTGCAATATCCCTATTGACTTCTCCAGCTGCTGGTATAAAAACAGTTGATCCTCTGCCTTTGCGGGAAGATTCTGAAGACAGTATCCCCAAATTTACTGAGGCAACTCTTCCAGCTTCAAAAATTCCAGAACACCCAACAAATACCCCTGGACAGTCGCCTTCTCCACTGCATGTTCCATCCTACTGGCATCCCTCTCGTCGAATTCAGGGCTCTCTTAGAGATCCAGAGTTTCAGCACAATGGTAATTATTTTCATTTTAATTTTTTGTCTTTTAAAATACAGTGTTATACTGATAGGTACAAAGGCCAAGAATGCACTTTATATTAATAAATCACTTATTTCTTATTTTTGGTTAATGTATTAATGACATTTCTTTAAATAGGAAAAATCCCTCTTTGGGACACCCAATTGTGCTTCACCTAAGTTCGCTTTTTGCTGTTATATATGTGTGAGATATCTCAAGTTCTTATCTATAGACATAGAGGGAACCCATTAGATAGATGCCAGTAGCATGCCTTCTCTGTATGTGGCAACCAAAAACGTCTCCAGACACATTGCCAAATGTTGCCTGAGTGTAGAATTCACGGCCAGACATGATTTTCCTTTAGTTGTAGTAGGCATTGCTCAGCTCCTCTAGCTTCCACTGTTAATGTTAAGAAGTTGAATGCCACTTTTATTCTGGATCTTTTATATGTGGTGTTTTCTTTATGGCAGCTTTTAGGATCTTCTCCTCATATCTAATGTTCTGAAATTTTATGATGTGCCTCTGAGTGGGTATTTTTTTATTCATTTTGCTGGTACTCCATAGACCTTTCAATCTGGAAAATTCTCACTTCTGGAACATTTTCTTGAATTATTCAGTCAAAAATTCCCTCTCCTGGCCGGGCACAGTGGTTCACGCCTGTAATTCCAGCACTATGGAAGGCTGAGGCAGGTGGAATACTTGAGGCCAGGAGTTTGAGACCAGCCTGGGCCACAGGATGAAACCCTGTCTCTACTACAAAAAAATTAGCTTGGTGTGATGGTGCATGCCCTTAGTTCCAGCTACTTGGGAGGCTGAGGCATGAGAATTGCTTGAGCCTGGGTGGCAAAAAAAAAATAAAAAATTTTCCCCTTTCTCTGTTTCCTGTTTCCAGGACTCCTATTAATACAGATGTTGGACATGATTTTATGTTTTATCTTACCTCTCCTATTTTTCATCTCTGTCTTTTAATTTGAAAAGTTACTAATTTTATCTTCTGTCTTTTCTGTTTTTAAAATTTTTTATTTCAATAGCTTTTGGGGTACAGATGGTTTTTGTTACATGGATATATTCTCTAGTGGTGAATTCTGCATTTTAATGCACCTGTGGTCTATTTTGGAAAATGTTCCCATGTGAAATGATGAGAAGAATGTATATTCTGCAGCTGTTGGGTAGAATGTTTTGTAAATATCTGTTAAGTCTATTTGTTTTAGAGTATTGTTTAAGTCCATTGTTTCTTTGTTGGCTTTCTGTCTCAATGATCTATCTGTTGCTGTCAGTGGTGTATTGAAGTCCCCTACTATTATTATGTTGCTGTCTACCTCATTTCTTAGGTCTAGTAGTAAGTGTTTTATGAATCTGGGAACTCCAGTGTTAGGTGCATATAAATTTAGGACTGACTGTAGTATCTTCTTGTTGGATTGAGCTTTTCATTTTATATAATGACATTTGTCTTTTTTTAAATTGTTGTTACTTTAAAGTCTGTTTTGCCTGATATAAGACTCCAGCTTGCTTTTGGTTTCCATTTGCATGGAATATCTTTTCCTATCCGTTTACCATGAGTTTATATGAATCTTTGTGTGTTAGATATTTGGTTTATGGTTTTTAATCCATTCTGCCATTCCATGTCTTTTAAATGGAGCATTTAGGCCATTTACGTTCAGTGTTAATATTGAGATGTGACGTACTGTTCTATTCATTATGTTAGCTGTTATTTACTTTGTTTTCTCTGTTGTGTTATTGTTTTATAGGCCCTGTGAGTTTTAAGCTTTTAGGAGGTTCTGTTTTGCTGCATACCAAGCTTTTGTTTCAAAATTTAGAACTCTTAGCGTTTCTTGTAGTGCTGGTCTGGTAGTGACAAATTCCCTCAGCATGTGTTTTTCTGAAAAAGACTTTATTTGTCCTTAATTTAAGAAACTTAGTTTTGCTAAACTAACGAAATTCCTGGCTGACAGGTATTCTGTTTAAGGAAGCTAAAGATAGGACCCCAATCCCTTCTGCCTTGTAAGGTTTCTGCTGAGAAACATATCTGTTGTTAGTCTGATAGTTTTTCTTTTATAAGTTACCTGGTGCTTTTTTAAGTTACCTGATGCTTTTTTTTTTTTCTGACAGAATTCTTTCCTTCATATTGACTTTAGATAACCTGATGACTATATGCCTATGATCTTTTTGCAATGAAGTTCCTAAGAGTTCATTGAGCTTCTTGTATTTGAATATTTAAATCTCTGGCAAGGCCAGGGAAGTTTTCCTCAATTATTTTCTCAAATAAGTTTTCCAAACTTTTAGCGTTTTCTTCTCCCTCAGTGTCACCATTTATTTTTAGGTTTGGTTGTTTACATAATCTCATATTTCTTGGAGACTTTGTTCATTTCTTTTGATTTTTTTTTCTTTATTTTTGTTTGGGTTAATTCGAAAGCCTTGCCTCTGAGCTCTGAAATTCTTTTTTCTGCTTTATTTTCCCCTCGTACCTGGCATGCAGCTATCTTCTACTTATTCTAGCCTGTTTTTGAAACTTTGCACTGCATTTTGTATTTCTCTATTTTTTATTTCTAGAAGTTCTGATTGAGTTTTTATTACGATATCTATCTCTCTGCAAAGTATTTCATTTATATCCTGATATTAAAAAAAAAATTTTAATGTTGGTTTTTACTTTTCTCTGGTAGCTTCTTGAGTAGCTTAATAATCAACCTTCTGAATTCATTGTCTGGTATTTCAAAGATTTCATCTTGGTTTGCATCCATTACTGGGGAGCAAGTGTGATCTTTTGGAGATGTTATAGAACCATGTTTTGTCGTATTGCCAAAATTACTTTCTGGTTCCTTCTTTTTTTGGGTATACTATTCTAATTGTTTTCAAATTTATTTTTGATTTGACTGTGTTTTTTTTATTTTATTTTATTTTTTTTCATTTTTTCCCCTCTTAAGAATTTGACTTTGGTGATTATAATTTGTTATAGTTTAATTTGGTTCTTGGTGCTTTTAGGAGTGAAGTGTCTTTATAAGTTCTTTGGTTATAGAGAGACTTTGTAGGATGGCTTTCTCAGATGCTGGTTGTAGTAGCTGTGGTACTCAGTGTGTGCACAAGTTCACTGTCTCCTGTGGGGTTGGAATGGCAGAGGTCTCTTGAAGCTTATCTCATTCCCCTGTGGTGTGTACTTTTTTATTTATCTAATTTTTTTCCAGTATTTTGTTTACTGAGTTGATAGTTCAGGCTTCAGGCCAGTAGGGGAGGTATCCCTGGGTAGGAAATTACTGTAGCAAACAAAAGCAGGTGGGTGAATGCAATACACACTGGTGGGCAGAGGTGACAGCCTTGGTGAACGTGGGTGGAGGAGCTCTCAGTTAGATGCAATGGGGTCTCATCAGGGTGAAGGGTGGGAGCCACCTCACCTCCCCTGCCAAGCCAGCAGGAAAGCTATCCACCTCCCAGCCTCACTCCTGTCTCAGTGGCCCAGCTATTCAGATCAAACAGGCACCTCTTTTTGTCTGTAGGAATGTTGATGTTCCAAGTAGATAGGAATTGTGACTCTGCCTCTCATGCAAGCCTGTACCTGGGGAGTGTTCCTCCTGTGGGGAAGCAGTCACCCTGAGGTGTTCCAGGAAGGTTGTCTATAGGCACACCCATACCGAGTCCTGTGGGAGAAGCCCCAGCTGTGTCTGCAGTGGTGAATGAGGGGAAAGAAGACCCCTTCTCCAAGACCCTTCATGAGCACTAAGGCTGCCTGACTATTGGGTAATGGGGTAGACTCCCTGCTGAGCCTAGCACTGCAATTGTGTCTCTGCTGAAAGAAATTTCCCACCAGTGGAAAGATCTGGGACGCCTGAGATTCCTTGGTTATAGATAAGGTTAGAGTGCTGGCTTTCTTGTATGTTGGTTGTAATAGTAATGAACTTGTCCCGTAGACAGATTCAGGACCACTGGTTTGCTAGGTTGTTTGCAGGCAGTGGTGATAGCTGAGGTCACACACTGGTTTTCTCTATTCTGGGCACAGCATTATTCTACCTAGAGATGGTGTAATGGACTGTGTCAGTTGGCCTCTAATCAGGAGGTGCTGCTTGCAAGAGTACCAGCTGCAGTAGTAGCAGTGGTATTTGAGCTTGCCCTATGTTGACCAGGGGAGATACCCTGGCTTTTCACACCATGGGAAGGGTTATAAAGCTCCCCAAAATTATGTCCTTTGTGTTAAGCTACCAGGGTGGGTGGAGGGGCACAGCCAGGCGGGGGCTGGGTCAGGTGGGTCTGCTTTTTGACTTTCCACATGCTGTCTGTTAGTTTTTTAAAAAGATTTTTCTCTTTCTGTTTTAAACATTGCATATTCCTTTTATACAGTATCCCATTCTTATTTCATGAATGGTATGTCTTACCTCTTTGAAGAGGTAAATGATATATATAATGCCTCTGTTTTGAATATGGTACCCCTGCCCACAGTTGAACCTGGTATCCTTCAGTCACAGTAGCTCTGGTAAACTTTTAGAGACAAAACTTGCATGCCTCTTTTGGGAAAGAGGGAATTGCCCAGCTGTGCAAATTTAAAGAAGGATCTGGCATATTAACTATTTTTGTAAAAAGATTTTTAGCTAGCTTCCTAGTTCAGTCTTGCCCTCATTCCAACTTTCAATGGTATTCCGTACTCTCAAACCCACAGCCATGAGGGGAACAAATTGGTTGTTTCTTGATTTCAGTCTTCTGCTGGCTTAAAAGTCAGCTTACTTGGGTATAATTATACACTCACTGCCTTTACATTTGCTTTCTATGTTCCAAAAAGTTTCTTGCTGTCTTATTTGCTCCCATTCCTTTTGTTCGCTGTTTGTTGTTCTTGTAAATGTGTATATTTATCTTCTCTAATCAGAAACCTACATTTCTTTAAAGTTAGATCAATATTATCATTGGAAGGAATTTTAGGGCATCCATAGTTTGTTTACGTACTTGCTAAGTGCATTATAAATTACGAATGGCCCTTTTATGGTATTCTATTAAGATATAAAATTAATAATTTTTTTTATTTTTTTAAACCTTTACTCACATGCAGGTTTGATAATTAATAAAATTTCTGACAGTCTACTTTTGCTAACAATTTAGTATATAATTGAGACAAGCTGTTTGGTGGCATTTGAAGGATAATTTCTTCTACCTTTTTTTTTTTAAGTGGGAAAAGCAAGGATGAACAATTTGCAGTTACCTCAGCATGAAGCCTTTAATGATGAAGGTATTTCAGTATTCGCATAACATAAAAGTTTGAGTTCTAGTCAATGATAGCTTATAATAGTATAATGGCTTTACATTTGATTAGCACTTTATTATATAGTTTATGAAGTACTTCCACAGTTTTTTCATTAGATCCTTGAAGCCCTGTGAGGGAGGTGAAATTACTCCCATTTACAAATGAATAAGCTGGGAGTAAAGTGGTTTTAAAAAAAAATTGTTTCTAGGGCAAACATGTAATAAGAGATTGTGCCTACATCACAGCTGATTCTCTTTTTCCACCTTGTCTAGCTGGGGGCTCAGGAATTTGACCTAGCGTTATATCCATCTTTTAAAAAATGCCTATATATTTTTGTCAATTTTCAGTGCTCAAAAAAATATATGATTAGAGAAAATTGACATTTTTCTTTTCTTTTTTTCTTTTTTTTTTTTTTTTTTAGTTTTTATTCTGATATTTATTTGCTTATAAATAGTGGCAGGAGGAACTTGAATTCAATATGAATAATTGAATCACTATTTTAATTCATCCTAAGAAGTATACAATTACTGAATTTATAAATTTTGAATTGGAAGTAAATTTAAATTTCATACTCTCTATCATACATTAAAGACTTTCTCTCCCTTTAGCAGGTTTAGGACTTTTTGTTATAATTCATTGAGCTAGAAATCAAGTCGTATGTTTTGAAATGCAAATGTCTGGCAACTTTGAATCCAGTCCTGTTTTCTTTCTAATGGAGGAATAATAGGTTCTATAAATAACCTTATAATAGACTAGCTTACCCAGAATGAGAAATTTCAGTACTAATGAAGGTTAGCATGTTAAAGTCAAACATTATTTCTACATTTAGTGAGATTAGAAATGTAATGTAAATAGCATGTTATGGTATAGCATTTTGTTTTGAAAAAATTTAGAAAACCTTTTTGCTCAGAATAGCTGTGCTTTTTAAAGTAGGATAAGATAGTATTATGATGAATTATTTTCAACTAATACTGAAATCATAGGCCATGTGCTCAGTTAATGACATTAGGGGATTTCAGGAAGGAAAAAATTTAATGTTAAATTTTAACATTAAAAGGTTTGATTTCTATGTGTAATAAACCTGGAAGACTACTGTGAGCTGTCATGAGAATGTTAGTATCTTACATTTCAATAGGTTACATTTTTCTTGATGACTTGACATTGATACACAGTTTGATACTTTTAATTTTCTGTTATATAAAACATAATATTTAGTATATATTTTTTGCTCTGAATATAATCTCCGGATCCTTTCATTGCAGATGAGGACAGATTGTCTCAGATTTCTGCTCGCTCTGCAGCTTCTAGTCTCCAGGCATTGCAAACTCTGGCTCGAGCTAAGAAACGGAAGGAGAATTTCTGGGGTAAAACATAAACCTAGTTGAGTTGCCTTTAAGGAACCACTGGCATAATTTTTCTTTATTGCTTATTGTGTTAAAACTTTTTGAGTGTTTGAATCTTTTCTTAACATTTCCTACTTTGAAATATTTACTTTCCAATAGAACAGTTTACTTGGAGATTTTTAACATAGGCTTATAAAAATTTAATTTTTAAAGAATTCCTTTTACATCTATCTATCCCAGAGTACAAACCAGATTATTGAGTTTTTCACATGTTGTAACTTTTATAATAGGTGTCATGGATAGAATTTCACCTATCCAGAGAATATTTCTAAAAAGATAAACACAGTGAAGTAGAAGTTAAGATCCCAGTGTGAAGTATATTTTCACCTATGGTTCGATATATATTTATATATGTATCTTTATAATTGATGATGTCATAAAATGAATTTGTTGTTTCTTTAACCTTTGCTGTAGTGTTTCTTTTTATTTTAGTTCCTTCTATATGTGTTTGCAGTGTTAATGGTACTTTGAAAATACCAACTGTATATATTTTTCTTATTTATGTAACAAAGTTTGCTGAAAGATGTGTATATTTTTGACCTTTGAGTGTATTCTATTTGTATAAGGACTTTGGCTTACATTCGAATAATGTCTAGATTTTGAAAAATTACTTGTATAATAGAGAATTAAAATTTTGTAGACATTTTGAAATAAAAATTGATCAAGTGTGTTTGGCTTCTCCAGAAAGTTATTACATGGAACAAATAATTCTTTTAGAAGAATTTTACTCGTAACAGGTTAATGAAAAGTTATACTTGTTTTGCAGCTATCAGAATGAAATGGAGCCAAGTCTGTGACATTTTTGCACAAATGTAGGACAAATAATTTCCAAGGCAGACTCATTTACAAAAATTTAAAACTTTTTTTTAACCGTATTTCTTCACTCACAGGACATGTTCTGTTGTCTTACTGCTTATCATGCAAATCATATAAATTTAAGTTTCTAAAAAATGTGGATGTTACAACTATTTTGTATAAAATCTTTACAGTAACACATAGAAAGTCCTAAAGCTAAAATACACAGACTATTCATGCTTGTTGGTTGGAAAACAAGTGAACAATCTGTTCTAAACTGATAATTTGGTCAAAAGTACATTTGCAAATCATTGGTTCACAGTAAGTTTGTTAAAGATCTTACATTATCATGAGGTAGTAAAGAAGTGTAGGCATACAAATACTTGCCTAAATTCCACTGACCTTTAAACTGGTTTGTTCATTAAAAGTTGCTACGGCATTAAATATGAAAGTAAAAGTTTGAAATTGGAGTATAACTGGACTTTAGAACACAAATTGGCTTCTATACATACCTGCACTGAGGCATATTAATTGCAAAATAGGTTTGAACTTTTCTCTCTAGACATATAGATATATCATTATTCTCTTCCTCAAAGGTTGGTTAGGACAGAGTTTTCAATGGGTTGACCACTGATGTATGGTAAAGAAAGGAATTATAGCTAGCTTGCAGGGAATTTTGCATAACTCACGGTCTATTTTATCTAAGCTATAGATGTAAAATCTAGGTACACCCATTGGAGTGAATCACACCACATAACTTGATCTATCAGGTATTAGATGGATTAGGATATGGTTCTTATGGGGACAAGGTCATGACCCCAGTCTCTATGCAACAATTTAGCTCTGCATTTATTATTGACCGCTTCTCTTAAAAACTTTATTCAGGCCGGGCGTGGTGGCTCACGCCTGTAATCCCAGCACTTTGGGAGGCTGAGGCGGGTAGATCACGAGGTCAAGAGATCAAGACCATCCTGGTCAACATGGTGAAACCCCGTCTCTACTAAAAATACAAAAATTCAGCTGGGCATGGTGGCGTGTGCCTGTAATCCCAGCTACTCAGGAGGCTGAGGCAGGAGAATTGCCTGAACCCAGGAGGTGGAGGTTGCGGTGAGCCGAGATCGCGCCATTGCACTTCAGCCTGGGTAACAAGAGCGAAACTCTGTTCTAAAAAAAAAAAAAAAAAACTTTATTCAGTGGCCCGGGGGAGAGAATAGTGTTGAGGGTCCCATACTGTTTTATCGCTCATACTAAGGGCAACTCAGATGACATGCATTTGAGTTGGTGAGTAAGTAGTCTTAGTTACATGATAACTGCTCCTTGAGATTTGCTAGTATTCAGGAGCTGGGGTTGCAAATTCAATTTTTTATTTATTTTATTAAAACATACTTCTCTGTACAATAAACCGCAATTGTTAAAAAAATTACTGCTCAATGAATTTGAACAGATGTACATATCTGTGAAACTAACACCACAATCATGATACATTATGTTCCATCACCCTAAAAGTTTCTTCATGTTCTTTCGCAGTTAGTCTGTCCTTCCACCCCAGTCCCCAAGGCAACCAGTAATCTGCTTTCTGTCAGTATAAATTAGTTTACAGGAATTTTATATAAATGGAGCCATCCTTTATGCCTGCTTTTACTCAGCATAATACTTTTAGGAGTCATCCATGTTTTGGTGCACATGTTCCCTTTTAATTTATTCACTTGCTGGTGGACTTTGGCATTGTTTTCAGTTTGGGTTTATTATGAAAAAAACTACTATCAGTATTTGTGTGCAAGTCTTTGTATAGATATATGCTTTCATTTCTCTGCAGAATATCCAGGTAATTCCATTTTTATTCACCTTGAATATAACTTCTGCTTTGAATATTCAGTATATACCCAAATAAATATTATAAACTGGTAGCTTGGTCTTTTTGTCTAAATTAATATCTCACAAGCCACACGGGAAGCCAACTGCAGAATTGCAAGGAGAGGTTTTTCTAAAATGCATACACCTACCTGCTCTTACCCCTGCCCCCTTCCCCATCTTCACCCCAGCTATTGAGATTCTCAGTGTATCTGTATTTGATAGCCCCTAAAAAAACACACCAAAACACATACATGGGAGGTTTTGCATATTAATTTCTGGTCTAATCCCCATGGAATTCTGAACTCCCAGGTTAACCCTTGAAAGATGGTTTTGAGAATTAAGGATAAATAACATGATAAAATGCTTGGTACATAGGAGGAAATGTTACCATGAGATTTAAGCATAAATATCCTCATTTTACAGATGGGAAGACAGATAAAATAACTGGCCCAAGATCTCAAAGCTGGTGAATTAAATCTAGGTCTCCTTACTCGAAATCCACCCACGTTAACTCCTTTGAAGTGTGTATGCTAAAATTGCAAGTCCCACTGTTATTCAATTCTCTCTCTCTTTGATTCATTTGGGAGTTAATTTTCCACTTTGCCTTCTTGGAAGATAAATGTCTACCTTTTCTAGTCGGGAAAAAGAGTATGTGAGCATTGAATTATTGTACAAATGGATTCCACCAGAATGAAAGCAAATTAATATTCAAAACGAGCTTGTCCTTATGCAGAACAGTGTTGATTGGCTACTTAGGGAGCTCAAGGATGGATTATATATTTTTGTTATAATTGTGCATGCACATATCAGACATCCACAAAATATCCTGACTTCTAGAAGTTTACCAAAGGAACAAATAATATAAAATGGTAGATGATCCTAGAATTATTTCTATTTGGTTTTGGAATATGTTTTTGGTACTTTTATATCTGATGGTGGTAGTCATGTTATTGTGCTCAGAGCCCAATCTGTCAAACCACCATCACTCAGTTTCCCAAGGGGGGATTCTGCTGACAGACTACTCCAGGCCAAACAACAGTCTGTGTCATTGGACTAGCTCAAGTTGTGCACCAATGGGTCTGGCCACATGGGGTCTCTGAGAAGCCAACTTGCCCCATGAGCTTAACTCATGGACTAAAAGGCTGCTGGTCTCTTCAGCTCCATGCTGATGCACTTTCTTGCTAATGTTGACCCCGCAATCTAACCATACATGTCTTTCTCCCATGGCAAGTGGAGGCACAGAAAGACCCAGCCCTTTGCTCTCAGGCTTAGAGCCAAGCTTTTTGAGAGCTTGTTTGGAGGTTCTAGCAGGGGAGCGCAGCTACTCGTATACCCTTGACCGAAGACCGGTCCTCCTCTATCGGGGATGGTCGTCCTCTTCGACCGAGCGCGCAGCTTTGGGAGGGACGCACGTGGAGCGGTGAGGGAGGAAGGGGACACCCGCCTAGCCAGCCAGATCAGCCGAATCAACCCTGGCGATCAATGGGGTGACAGATGTCGCAGCCAGATCGCCCTCACATCTGAGCCAAGCTTCTTTAAATCCTGTGTCATGTTTCATTCCCACCCTGATGCTCTCACACAGGAGGCAGCCCCCCATGCTGCTACCCCTGCCATGTGGCAGGTAAGAGCAAAGGAGCAGTCATCTTAAAGATGGCATCTATTTCTCTTCTAGGAAGTGCTCTACCCAGTAGTCTCCATCCGTGGTTTCATTCTGCCCTAGATCCATATAAAGCGTATGTGGAAATTGAGAAATGAGGACTTGGGGGACACTGAGCCACCTTTGAAAATCAGCACGAGACCAACAGGTAGGGTAACGTTTGGGGAATTTACACCAATTCAAACCACATAATGGACAATTCAGATAATGCTGGGAAATTGTTCAGTTTCTCCCCTATTCAGTCTACATGCCAGTAATATGTTGGAGCTGACTCATGGGCCAATCATTAGATATTCAAGAATGTTGTGAGCAAGTTGTTAAAGTTATCAGTAGTTTGAAATTGGCCATAGTAGGAGTATTTACACCACCAAAATCAGCAGATGCCATAAATCAGGTCTTCTCCCATTTACTGGGAGGCGGTTTATAAGCCCATCACTGTAGCTACTACCTCAGTCTCTCTTATTCTTTCCATATTATTTGCCTGACAGAGAAAATAATTACTTCAGAAAGCCAGCTCAAGATAAGCTGCTATAATATTTATTATACCACTTAACGCATTCCTTGGCTTATAAAAATGGTTTGGTTTAGTTTCTTTTCTTGGCTGAAGTCCACCTAGAAAATAAAAACAAACCACAAATATGAATAGACTTACAGAGGGAGACTATGCAGAGATGGCCTAGAAATCTATATGTATAATTTTTCAGATGATTCTGATACTCAAGTAATTTGGGAACAACTGGCTTTGGGGTTATGGTAGCCTGTGTTCTAATCCTAACTCCACCTTGAGCAAGCCAATTGAACTTCTTTGAGCTTGTATTCCTCATCTTGCAGATGAAGATAACTCACCAATTTAGTTTTAAGATTAAATGGCGTAAGGTCTGTAATGTTTTTGTATATACTTTTTAAATGTTTTTCACTTCAAAATGTTTAGTTTTATTATGTTGGCAAATTTTCACTGGAACAAGAAAAGAAAGCCTTGTTTTAGAGAGGCTAAGGTTAAATCCAACAAGCAGGTGACAGGGTACCCTGAAATCGTGGCTTCTCATCACAGACCTATCAGTTGTGACCTACATTCAGCTTACCCAGAGGCAGTTTCACGTAGGAGTGCTGAAATGATTTGTCTATTTCCGTTATGTGGTAAAGCGAAACAGACTGACTACAGTGTTGTGACTCAGCGACTCTAGAAGGTGGAACTAATTACCTGATATATGCAAACTATATTAGCGTAACCATGAATTGGAGATGTTATCAGGTTTGAGTCAGGAAATGCAGCGATAAAGTACCCACGATAATTACTGATGAAAGGAAAGATAGTCAAGGTTGGTCCCTGAATGAATGTGTGCCCAATATCAAAGATTTCCT